TAAAGTTTTATGTTAATTGTAAAGTTTGTACAGTAAAAACTAAGTGTCTAAACATTAGACATGAGAATGTTCCTCAGGTATAGTACTGCTGTATAAAAAAAATAGACTTTACCCAAATAATATGGCAAAAAATATTAACTTAAAAAGATACAGTACAGGAGTTGGATTACAGTACATTACTGTTTGGATGAAGCAGAGGAAGTGGATGATAATTTCACATGCCCTTACCACTTTCTGTTTGTCATAAATATCACTCGCAGTTAACTTTCTAATATTAAACTCGCATTAAATCGTTTTCTAGATGTACCAATCTCAATTTGTCATATGATCTCTACTCATTGTTTAAGACAGAACACCTTCCAGTTTTTCTTCTCATTGCCTGTTATGGAACTTGTTGAGGATGTGCTTTGTCTGTCATTGTAAAGGAAATGATTTAAGGGCAATGCTGAATGCAACTTGTACACAGGGTTGATTGACATTAATTTGACAAAAACAAAGACATCATCTATGTGGGTAGGCTTTGATTACTTCAGGGAGTTGTGACCCTGTCTTGCTGCTCTTTGGGTTAGCGTTAGGAAGAGTATCCAGCCATAAAACTGCTTCAGCATGCCTAATAGCAATCAAGTCACCAGAGCCATGCCCATCCCCTGGTCTCTGCTGCATTTTCTAAGATAGTATACCTGAGTGGGGGACATCCCATTTTAGTTTTACCCAACAGCTGCCACCAGGTAATCAAAACTAACCCACGCAAGTGTGGAAAGTGGCCATAAAACGTTGATGATGATGTGTTGGAGAGGACCTGAGCTAATGCTAACCTTATATCTACAGGTGTGTATGTTAGTGGATGGATAGGCACTGGTCCTGTTGGTGTTATTTTGTCTACTATGACAAGTGGCTTCACAACTGGTAAAGTTGTTGTGGCAGACATGGAGACTGGCTCTGTGGATATCTCACGGCCTCGAAGTGGACAGACTTTAATTAAAAGTGCTTTAGCAGAAAAAGGTAAGATTAAAAAAAATTATTTCAATTTAATTCTTCTTATAGTCATCTAAGTTGATGGTTTCTGTTCATTTAGTCAGATTAACATTACTGTATTTATATTGTCTGAAAAGCTTGTATCAAATTGAATGATTTATCCAGGTAACCAAGATTACCTCGGAGTTGACTCTGTCTTGCCAGCTGAGAAGGGACTTGGAAGTCCCATATACTGTATAATATACAGTTGTAAGACTTGCTTCTAATTTGTCTGATAGTAAATATATTTTTATATGTAGAGTACAAGATTTTATAGCTAATTAGTTTGCTTCTTTTCCTACAGTAATTGTCTTTCAATTAATACAGTACTGTACTGTCTCTCTTTCAGGGGTACAACCTGTGTCATTTGATCAGTGGAATCGCTTGAATCAGTATGAAGTAGAAACTGGGGCAAAGCTTGGAAAACCCCGTGAGAAAGTTTCTAACATTAAACACATGATGGATATTATTCATCAGTGATGTTTTGTTTTGTGCTGTAGTGTGTTTATCATTCATCATGGGACCAGTAGCTTCAAGAGAACCTTCAAGGATATTTTCTTATTTCTTCATACAGTGTTTTGTTATGTTAAACACAAAGAAAATTTGTCACAATTAATTAGTACTGTAGTACTTATTTGTTTGTTATTCCAGTAATGAATTTCACTTAGAAAGTCAAAATTACTGTATTATGTCTACAGGTATAGTACAGGCAGATCCTGATTTATGAAATGCTTACATTCCTTAAAAACCTTTTGCAAATTATTATTTTTTAAGTCAAATTACATTTTCCATAAAAGCTGAGATAAGTTCCTACGAAAAACCACACCCCTTAAAATGCAGCAAAACCTGTTTTTAATGAAAAATTTTGGTATACACAATGATTATAAATCAATAATAAACATAATACAGCTAGACCCCGACTTACGACGGGGTTAGGGACCCAAATCCAGGTCGTAAGTCCGACATAGATAAAAAAATTATTATTATTATTTTTTTTTTAAATAAATAATCTACAATGAAATACAGTACAGTAAAAGTAATGAATAATGAGGAATGGATACAGTACAGTGAAAGTAATAAATAATAAGGAATGTTTACAGTGTGACTGAGCACTTACCTTTAATGTAGTCAGCTGAATGCACATGGGGCCCCCATAATTTTCTAATTATACATGGAGACTACATTAACTGGAAACGTTTCGGTATAGAAAATGCGTGTCATTTGAAAAAAAAAAAAATAATAAAAAATCTGCGGCGGTCGTAAGTCCTGACGGTCGTAAGTCGTAGCAGTCGTAAGTCGGGGTCTAGCTGTACAGGCAATGGCCATTATATGATGGGGCTAGGGACTTTAAAAAGCCATTGCTAAGTGATTGATCGTATATTGATGTTAGTAACTTGAGGGGGAAAATAGGTTCCTTTCCTGAACCCCTGAAGAGCCCATAAAATCAATAAATTTATTCAAAACAAAGATATTTATGTTAATTAATAATAATAATAATAATAATTAACGGTTTATTAAAAAAGTTCTGCAGCCCGAAGGCTGAAAATATACATTGGACATAAATGATTTATTACATACATTGGTGGTTTAACAAAAGCCTTCAGTAGAGAAAGGTAAAGGAACATACAGTGAGCCTACAGATTAATGTAGGTATTGAACAGCGAACATGTAGTGTAGTAACTCCCTCCCAGATGGTGTTAGGGGGGACCTCATGTGGTGTAGTAGTTCCCTCACCTTACATGAATGTGTGTGGAATTGGCACAGGACATCAAGTTAGATGTCGCCTCTCTTCCTACCGTGCAAGATGTGTTATTGTTATTTTTCAACTCGTAATTTCAAGTAGATATATAGTAGAACCTCGACAAATTGGACTAATTGGGGCATACCCCAGTTCGAAAAATGCGAAAGTCCGAGAAAAGCAAATATGGGGGAGGGGGGGGGGGTGTGTGGAGATAACACTGCTTATATGAACTGTTTAAAGAAAATCAGTTAGGTTATTACTGCACTTCAAGGTTAAAAGAATATTACATCAATAAAAGAAAATATGAAACCAATCTCTGGGTTGAAAATTAGACATGTAAGTCTGGTTGTCACCGAGATGATTGTTATTTACTGTAAAGTGTTAATGTAAGTAATCAAAGAATTTGTCTTATGAATAAAGAGAAAACTATATACTGTACAGTAATAAAAAGATAAAAATAAGAACAAATAAGAGTAGGAGAATATTGTGTGTGGAAGACAAATGTTTATCTGGGAGCAGAGGGGAGGGTGGCTCCCTCCCCTTCTCTCCCACAAGATTCCTTTAACACTTCTTTATGTAATTCCACTATAATTCTCATATACCAGTAATTTAGGATCATTTGGTGCCAGGTTGATAAAATATCCTAAAAGAATTAACTTTCCTGAAAAAAAAAATCCACATTGAACACCAGGACTCATTGTTTACTAAAAGCAAACAGCTGATTGGCTTACCACAATGTTTGTCTTCAACACTTGGTAAATTAGTACAGTACAGTTGTGTACTTATCATCACTTAATAAATACTATTGCAGTGTATTTATCATCACTTAATAAATACTATCGTAGTGTATTTATCATCACTTAATAAATACTATCGTAGTGTATTTATCATCACTTAATAAGTAATATTGTAGTGTACAGTCCTGTATTATGCATCTGCATATACCCTGGTTTATTCATTAATCATTTGTCTAAGTACAAATAGCCAAACTGACTCATCACATAACACTCAAAGGTGGTAAATAACATTTTTAAGAAGGTATCTTCATATCTAATACTATACAGTGTGTTATAGTGACCCCTCTTGTAATCTGGTCGACTGAAAGCTCTCACACGAATGCATCTTGAGTAAATAACCTTCTGATACAGTTTATCCTTTTATTTTCAAGTCATATTGCAAATTATATACAGTACAGTATTACCCCGCTTTATGCAGTTTTTTTTTACGTGTTTCCACTTTTACGCGGTACCCTGCCAGACCCGGGATGCTCACTTTACGCAGTGGGTGTACTCTTTTACGCGGAGAGCGGCTGTCGGTCATCTCGCGCCGCGCCATTATTGGATTCAAACCTCCCTCCGTCTCTCCCATCCATCCCGCCATGTTGGGTAAGCGGTGCGAGTAGGTTTTGGAAAAAGCTACCTTCCAAGACCTTCGTTGTCAAGACTGCCAGCAAGTGTCGGGGCCGGAATTGCAGAAGGAGCGCATCACCGTCCTGTTTTCCACCAATGCCTCCGGTACCTGTAAGCTCAAGTTATCGGTGATCCACACAGCACGCAAGCCGCACGCCTACAAGAGCATGGACATGACCAAGCTAAATGTCCACTGGCTGACCGCACGTAAGGCGTGGATGTTCTCTACTCTGTCCCTCTCCTGGTTTAATGACTGTTTCATTCCCGACGTGAAGAAATTCTGTGAGCAACAGAATGTTCCATTCAAGATTTTGTTGCTGCTTGACAACGCACCAGGACACTCGCCCCTACTGTTGGATCGTCACCCCAACGTAAAAGTGGTCTTCCTTCCTCCCAACACTACGTCATTAATCCAGCCCATGGACCAAGAATTAATTTGCAATGTGAAAGCTGCATTCTCTGCAAAGAAGTTTAAGCTCCTGAACGACTATACCAACACCAAGGATGAGTTGCGTAACCTGGGTGACACCGATAGCAAGAGCGAAGAGGACGAGGAACAACAGTTGGCAGAGCAAAAAGTACAGTAAAACCTCGATTAACCGACCACATATGGGGGGAAGGGGCCGACGGATAATCCGAAAGGTCGGTTAATAGCACATAAAGTCTACGGAAATAAAACATACTTTTTCAAAGTACCTTTCCCTAACCTACCTCATTTAATTCCCTCTATTCATTTTTGGTCATTTGCCATTCATATTTCAATAGAATTTGCTTTAAAAAATTAACCACTTTAGTAAATAAATATGAACCAGCACAGAAACCGTGAATAAAAAATG